CCACACTATTTCTAGGTCCTTTACAGGTCCGTAGCCAAAATCATGCAGTTTTCACCATTCTAAGCATTTTTAGCCAAAATTATCAAAAAGCCCCCCCCCCCCCACCTCCTAGGCAAAAGGCTCCCCTTGGTACCGCTTCCCCTGGTAAAAGCTGGCTACGGGTCTGCTTTAGTGCACTCTTTGTGAAAAATTCACAATATTGGGAAGGAGGAGATCATATTTTAAAATAACATTGGGCTATAATGAGGCATCAAAATTCCAATCGTACGCTGCAGACTTACCTCAAACTTGTACTATGAACTCGTGTGTTCTATTTCCGCTGTTTTTCACGTCTTTGTTTTCGTACATGTCTGGTAGGCACAGTTCTTGACTGACATTGCTCCTCCAAATAAAGTCCAGCTTTAGTTTGTCATCAGGTAAAATAAATGTTTCTTGTAAACTAAAAATAAAACACTATGTTGACCTCCACGTGGCAAAGCTTGGAACGAAGGAACTTGTCGCTCTATCAAGTATTCATGTAATTCATTCGAGTAATGCCCATGTGCAGTCCGTGTAAACTGCAGCCAGACTCCAATTGTTGCTACAATTAATTAGCTACATTATGATGAATTTTATCCAATAAGAGGCAAGGTAACTCGGAGCCTGGTTGCAATTTGCGCACTTGGTGTATTCAAAAACAACAAAATTTATGGATCCCGGGGGATTCACTGTATGTAAATTTTGACGGGGGGGGGGGGTCCTTGGCTGGCTTAACCCTCAGATATCAATTTCCCATTACAATCTGTCAAATTCCAATGTGTTCCCATACCAACCAAAATAACGCTCAAAAGCCATACCAAATGCCCGAATATAGGACCAATGCCATACCAAATGTCCAGATATAGAGAAATGATATACCAAATGTCTAAAGTATAAAAAAAGTTAATATTCAAACTGAAGAAGGCCCTGGGAAGAAGGCAGATCTATGAAGAAAACGATCAAAAACAACCTCGAATTAAGGATATATATGTAACCCGGGATATGTAACTACTGGACCCGACCAGTACCATACCGCAAGTGTGAGGTAACATATTTTCCACGACCATTTTCATACCAGAAAGTGGAAAAATCTGACCATAACCATACCTCGTGTCATATATTTAGGGGGCATTCTCATACCAAATCATAAAATCTTGGTCCATTCATATCAAATATCAAAAAGGGTACCTCGTGTGCGCCGAGGATCCCCGCCAAGGTTTATATACAGTGAACCCCCCTTCATATCGCCTGTTCTATTTACACGCCTATTAACGATATAGCTTATAAATACGCTCAAACATCTAACGCACTTAAATCTAAATTTTGCAGAGTGAATTGAACATGAATAATAGATGGCATATGTATAGAAATCACTTTAAAAACAAAATAAATATCATTTTTGCATATAACAGATAGAAATATGAATGACCCGCGGTGAGCAACCATACCGCACCGGGAATCGACCCCGGTGCGTTGTCCCTTGACCCCGGACCGTTAGGTTTAAAATGTAACGCACCGTCTTTCGAAAATAGATATGTTAATGTACCTTGATAAATTCGGAAAAAAATTGAAGATCACTGAGACTGTAGGATTTCTTCTCAAAGAGATAATTGGAACAACCAAAGATTTTTCAACGTAATATAGATATACATACTGACATAGTGAACATACTAGTCTATGATATCCTCTCTTCAGAATTTTTTTCGCTGAATTTTTTAGTTTTTTATACATTTTACAGAAAATTCTCACCAGTCTTTTTTTAAGGCACATAAGTGCACTCTTTGTGCACAACTGGAAGATGTAGACGATGTGGGGAAGGAGTGATTCCTGTTTGAAAAATAACATGTGACTCAATTGAGGAATTCCTGAGAAAAATTCCGAACATGCACCCTGGCCTTAAGATACTAAAGCTAAGATTTTATCATCGCCGATTCAACTTCATTTATTGAATTTAAAAACTTCAAAAAGTTTTATTTGTATAGGAATTTGAACTTACATTGAGTGGCCTGACTAGGCAGACATCAATGTGCTTCCCTATGGACTATGTTTTGCCGATCGCTTCTTCGACATACAAGTATAGTGAAATGTCCGAGCAGAGAATTACAATGAACGAATGTATAGGAATTTCGTATATTGGTTTAAATTCTAATACTATATCTAGTGTTCTAATGCACCATTCAAAAGTTTGCGAGGACTTTTCATTCATAAATTGATTGTAGCACACGTATATGTTTTCCGCAAAGAATCTTATTATCTTATGTATGGTATCAGTCTTTTAATAAGGGATCCCTAGGCTACGCGATTTCGGCTTTTTCACCCAGAATTAAATTTTCGGTCATATATTTGACATAAATCATAAAATCGAGGTTTTTATTCCAAAGTTGCGATCTTTGTTGCACAGGATTGGGGGACATTCACTTTCGTCAAAGATAGTTGTTTTCTTCCACATATACGTCTCTAAATAAGCATGTATACACTTGTTTGACTATCATATTCATCTGTCATCAAAATATTGATAATTGTATTATTTTGTAAAAGTATTTCAAGAGTATTTAGTCCAAGTCATGCCAGGGGTATTTTCATCCTACAGATAGATCTTCCTGGTGATAGATGTACATCTGGAAATATCATTCTTATATTATATTCTCAACGTATATAAATTAACTCAAACACCGGTCCGTTTCTGAATATTGGTCTAATATGACCGGTGCGTTACAAACATATTTAGCCTATTTATATCTCTTAAAATTAATCACCATTTAGCTCCTGGACTGGCAGAGTTTTACACACTAATATAAGCTCGGGTATCTGCTCGCAAAACCTAGGAATAATCTGTATATTTGATAAATTGTATAAAAATTAACAAAATATCTTAACTTTGCTAGCGCTTGTGTTTTTCATCTTGCTTTCACAATATAGGCCAATCATCACGTATCTAATCCAACTTGGTCATTAGTTAATACAGGGTGACCCAAAAAATCAACCCTCCATTTCTTGAATAACTTTCTTAATATAGCAGATATCTTAATTATTTTTCATTTACAGATAGTTCATTCAATGTGGGATAATGCAGTGCTTTTATTTTCAGAATATGGCATGGTCAAAAGGAGAAAATCCTTTATCGTAGAGGCATACTTTCTAGAAAATCCTTTGTTGCAGCTCAGGCTGAATTTAGACATAAGTTTGAATGTCGTCATTACTCAGATAAATCATTTTTAGATGGGTAAAGAAGTTTAGAATAGAGGGAACTGTCAAAAACTTGAATTCAAGGAGTCAAGATAGAGAAACTCATCCAGGACGACCCAAGACTGCAAGATCTAACAACCATTGGTGATCCACTCCATTACGCTGGTTACCAAAACGGTTCGTTTTGGTAACAAAATGTCGGAACGTCGAAGGTACGATTTTTCTTTTTTCCTTATTTCACGCGTTGTAGGCAGAATCCCCGCGACGTTTTTTCTCACAAACATATATCAGTATCATATATGTTTTAGAAAATGTACATGTTTGCGAAAAAATAGCTCAGAAGACAATAGAATCGTCGATTTAATGCCTCACTTAGGTTACATAAACGGTTTGGGTTAAAAGTGCAGATCTTAACCGTTTTTCGAAAAACCGTTTATGTAACTTAAGTGAGGAATTAAATCGACGATTCTGTTTTGTACATTTTCGTAAGCATATGATACAGATACACGTTTGTGTTAATTAAAAATGTCGTGGGAATTTTGCCTTCAACGTGTGAAATAAGGAAAAAAGAAAAATCGTACCAAAATCGTATGTTTTTATTACTGTCCTAGTTATATTTGATAAGTATATTTACTTTTTTACGAGTTTTGATGCATAATTAACCCCCTGCTGAGAGTCAGAATAAGTATCTTAACAAAACAAAATAGTCATTATCATAGAAAAAACACCAATTGCAACATGTATGACATACAAAGAAGAAATAACTTAAGACCCATGAAGAATTAAAAAGAAAATCATATTTTTGAAATATAATTAAGGAATAATTTTTTTTTCAAATTTTTGAATTTCCCGCCAGTTTAATTTGAAAGGGGAAAAACAAGATGGCTGCCATTTGATGTAAGAAATATCAGAAAAAAAGTTGCTTCACTTTTAGTTTTCACAATGAGCACAGTTTTCCGGTTTAGGTTTTTTGACTGATTCTGACTCTTCATCACCAGGGTCATGTATAGAGATTATAAAATTGAAACCAAAATGTTGTGCTCAGCATGAATTTGACTGAAATATGTGTAACATCACCAACACAATTGAAGTCTCAAAACTGGATGCTCAGTAACTTTGAGTGACTATAATCCCGTGATTACCAAGATAAACACAAAATTCACTTATCCAGAAATACCATTCAATATCTATACAAAGAAAGTAACCAATGTTTTGGAAGATATGTTTCAAACTTTTTGCATAAATAATTCATTTAATATTTGCCATTGATTTTTTTTCAATTCTGACAAAATAATATGCACTGTCTTTGATGCCAATATTCTTCATCGATTGTGATACAAATTTATATTTTTGTAATCTTAGAAGAAGGATAAGATATTGAAGTTTAATAATATGTGTGGCTGAATTGGTTTTTCAGACATTACAATTTTCAATATTTTCTAAGTCGATACCCAGACTCATTCCCAGACTCATCCTTTGTCTCAAACTGGTCCATTATTCACTTGAGTGTTTGATTTTGCCGGTATTTGTAAAGGTCTATGATGGGTTCTTTCAACCTTTCCTTGGACAAATTTTAAAAATTTCAAAAATTTCAGTGAAATAATCAGATTGCATCTCTACAAATCGTGGTGCCATTTCAGTGATTATTGGATCAAAATACAGATCCTGTTGCCAGACAACTTTAAAAATGAAATCGGAAATGTTGAAAAAAATGTTGACAATTGAAGTTGAAACCCTAAACTCATCTCCCTTATCTCTACTACCTTTAATATCAGAACAAATCTTAATTTATATTGCAGTATATACATGTGTGTATATTTCTTTGTCTTAATATCAAGCACAAATAATCATATTGAACTTTTTGATGCAAATTCTGCACTCAATATGTTCATAATATCCTTATGAGGGGCTCCTTTGTTCAGTTGTTTTTGTTTGCCATAATTGTCCTTGACAAATAGTGCAAATTTGTTCGGTGTTGAAGGGGCCCTTGGTTTCCTTGGAGTTCCATCCTTGTTGTTGACGATGAGTTCAAATTGACCGTGACAATACCCACAGACCTTCTTGGTTGTATCTAGAGATTTTGAATGACGTCCAATTCTGGAATCAAAACATTTTCATTTTAGCATATTAGATAAAACTAGAAAATGGCAACTCCAAGACTCCAAGGAGTAGCAAATCCGAATAAACAATTTTTCAGATGATAAGACATAATTAAAAACTGAACAACAACCTATGCATGGATTGTCCTCAAATGAACAATCAATCAATCATAATTCAAAAAGGCATTAAACCTTTGGAATGTTTTACTTCATGGATTGTTTTAATTCTATTATATTGTCAACAACATCTACTATTCAAAAATGATATTTTGTACAGTGTACTTACTGGTAGCCACACTCCACACATTTGTAGGTGAATTTGGTATTTATTTCATAACTATGGCAACGCTGAATTATAGGCAGTTCTGGGTGGGCAATGTTTGACTTTCTTGCCCTAAAACATATTAAATAAAATACCTAATCAACAATTTGCATTCAAGTTACTGAAAACTGTATTGTACCCTTAGAAAGTGTAAGCTGAAAAATGTAAAGTGCAAGCATAATCATATTAAATGCATTTTATTCAAGATAATTCCATAATCATTTTTTATTCTGTATAACCAAAAACACTATGGGTGAAGCCAGGATTCAAAAATAGTGGAGAGTAATTTAAAATAGAAATGGAGACTATAACAATATCTCAACACTTTAAATATCTCAACACATTAAATCTGAAAAGTATGTCTTTTTAATCAAGTTAGTAGAGTAATTCGATTGACATAGCTTTTGAAAATTAAAAATATTTTAGGTTTAGTATTTTGACACTGCTGACTTTATTTCCTTACCAGTATTTCCAGAACCTCCCATGGCCATCATTGACCCCATTCAGCAGCCAAACAGCAGCGTGACACATCTCATGTATGAGAGTGTCTCGTACACGTTCTGTAATTAAAACACATCTCATGTATTAGCGTAACTCATGTCATACATATTTTGCAATACAATATAATCACATCCCATGTATAAAGGTGTCTCACACACATTCTACAATACAATATAATCACATCTCATGCATAAAGGTGTCTCACACACATTCTACAATACAATATAATCACATCTCATGCATAAAGGTGTCTCACACACATTCTACAATACAATATAATCACATCTCATGTATCAAGGTGTCTCACACACATTCTACAATACAATATAATCACATCTCATGCATAAAGGTGTCTCACACACATTCTACAATACAATATAATCACATCTCATGTATCAAGGTGTCTCATACACATTCTACAATACAATATAATCATATCTCATGTATCAAGGTGTCTCATACACATTCTGTAATACAATATAATCATATCTCATGTATCAAGGTGTCTCATACATGCATTCAGTAATACAATATAATCATATCTCATGTATCAAGGTGTCTCATACATGCATTCAGTAATACAACCACATCTCATGAAATAAAGATATCTCACATCTTCTAAAATCCGATAGAAACCTGAAAACTTCGAAAAATCATGATGATCACAGGAATCTCACTAACCTGATGAATCACAAACTTTTCCAGAGAGTTCTATACGACACGTGCGATCATCTTGTTTCACCCTATTCCTTTTGTACGCACAGTAACCAGCTGTCTTTAACAGTCGTGGATTCCAGATCACCTCCAAGTTCTCTGGTAACTAGAGAGAGAAGCATGTATATCCTCAAATATAAATGTGAAATAAATAAATAAAAACAAATAAAAATATAAAAGTTAGCATCCTCCTAAGCAGGTGTCCAGAATCCGTACCTCCTTCTTTCCCCCTGCTATAACCAATTTGGAAGCGCCCGATTTAACTGAATCACGTGATCTAATTATGCGCAATGACTTGTACATGATTTCTGTCGCAGTGTTGCAACATCCAATCAGATTGCGAATTCTTAATCTGGGAAATGCTAACTGCTTATCGCAGGGGAAAAAAGAAAGAATATATTCTGGATTTTGAAGCCCTGTGATCGGAGGATGAAAAGATAGATGACAATAATGCATACCTTTGAATCAAATACAGTTTCATTGTAAAGTTTCACAAGTCTCATAGTCAGTTCTTCTTTTTTCTTCTTGAATTGTTTCACATACCTGGAATAAAAGTAAAGCTTCAGTATAGGTATAACAAGGCCTTAACAAGGCAAAATGTCACCACCTGCCATTAGTTACAGATGCCAACAGCCAAATTCTGACCATAAAAATGTTGGAGCCATTTGCTACAGATGCCAAGCACTAAACACCAACCACAGAACTCTGCACACCAACCACCGAACACCATCCGCAAGAAGGTTGGAGCATAGGCCCGGGAACACAATAAAAAAAAAATTGAGTCAATTTTTTTATACATGTTGATCATAAAGTTCTCGTAATATCTCTCTAAAATTTTTGTTTTTCAATATATCGTCTTAAATTTCAAAAGAATGTGCCCCATACAAAGGACCTATTAATCCGGCAAAAATGTTTAATGTTACAGAGATATTATGAGAATTTAATGATCACGGCTTGAATACAATAATCTACAATGAGATCAAACATGCACTTACTCCAAAGCATCTGGATGGCGCCTTTGGTTCTCCACATTGGTAGACAGAGACTTCAGAAAGCTGTATGTTGAGGGCCTATATTCTGAAGATCTGGACCGAACAACATCTGGGACTACTTTCTTTGTTTTATTTATTACTCCTGTAAAAAACATACATATTTGAAGAGAATAGCATATACTGTACAATGTCGTGCATGGATTAAAAATGAAACTTTGCAAAAACATTTCATCAACTCATGTATAAATTTAATCCCCAGAAAATAAATTGACTGCATTTTTGTATGCTGCTATATTTTGCAATGCATACAAAGAATATACATCAACATACCATGAAAGGCAATACAGCAGATTCCATCAATAAATTGTACTACAAAACCGGTTTTGTTATGTTGTTACCCTTAATTCATTGGCTTCTTGAACTATATAGCCATTTCAAAATTCCATAATCATTTTATCAAATTTGGAAGCAATTTGGAAAATTCCTGTCCATTGTCTGATTTTCCTGTTCTTCACCAAATAAATGATATTAGTAATATGAAAAAATTATGTCCAAAAATTCCCATTCAGATGTACACTCTACCCATTGTTCTGACTAAACTCAATTTACATTTGCTTCATTTACAATTACCTGTACTCTGAGGCACTGTTGGCTTAGACTTCACTGTGGGCTTTGCGAGAGAGCTTAGGGTACCAGAAACCTTCGTTTTGAAGAGTCTATCTGTGAGAGAACGTCCAAGGTCAGTGTTGTCAATATGAGGAGTTCCAGCTGATTTTGGTGTCTTACCTAATAACACATAATGCATAACATGCAAAATGTTACCACCTGCCATTTGTTAAAGACATTGAACGCCGACAACCAAATGCCATACACTCTTCACAAATAAGTTGGAGACTATAACACAATCTCAGGTTAGCCTGTATTTGAGAACATAGTACATGTCCGATGAGAAAAAAGTGAGATTTAATCTAGCATGAATTAACTACTTTAGTTGCAAATTCCACACACTGAATTGGACAGAATAGTGAAAGATTTTATATGGTTAATTTAAAAATATCTGCATAACCCAAATGCCACTTGGAAATGTGAATAGTGTTCACATTAGCAGGCTAAATCTAGCATGAATTAGTCTTCATTAGTTGCAAATTCAACACACTGAATTGGACAGAATAGTGAAAGATTTTATATGGTTAATTTAAAAATATCTGTATAACCCAAATGTGACTTGGAAATGTGAATAGTGTTCACATTAGCAGACTAAATCTAGCATGAATTAGTCTTCATTAGTTGCAAATTCAACACACTGAATTGGACAGAATAGTGAAAGATTGTAAACAGTTAATTAAAAAATATCTGTATAACCCAAATGCCACTTGGAAATGTGAATAGTGTTCACATTAGCAGACTAAATCTAGCATGAATTAGTCTTCATTAGTTGCAAATTCAACACACTGAATTGGACAGAATAGTGAAAGATTGTAAACAGTTAATTAAAAAATATCTGTATAACCCAAATGCCACTTGGAAATGTGAATAGTGTTCACATTAGCAGGTGTTCACATTCTAAGGTTTCTTAACCTTTAGCGTGCTGCCGGCGTACGGGTCCGCCCAAGCTAAAATGCTCCTCACAACTGCCGGCGGACTTGTACGCCCGATTTCAAACTTTCAAATAACAAACTTTTTCGCGGTAAAACTTTTAGCCAATCAGGTAAAACTTTTAGCCAATCAGGTACTACTATGATTCAAGAGTTAACACATTGAGAGATTTACAGGAATGAAAGGTGTTAATTCGAAAATACAGGGTTTACTGTACAGTATTCAGTCTACAATAATATGTGAAAAATAGTAAATATTGATTGTTAAAGGCAATCAAACTGACAGATACATATACCTGGTAGTTTAGGTGTCTTGAAATATGAATGAGGCGTTGAGACCCCAAGAACTTCATTGCTTGTATCCTGACTCCCTGCACTTGTATTCCTATTAGGTTTACTGCTTCCAGGGGTTGAGAAAACGGAAGTGTCATTGCTTGTTGTACTGGCGATCTTTGGTCTGTATGACCCTGGGGTTGATATATCTGAGTCTTCACTGCTGGTGTTGTACTTGTGACTGGATTTCTTGGGCCTGGAATACATAAAAAATGTAGTTTTGCCAGGGAGGAATTTTTATATTAATCAAACATTACGAGTCTTGCTGGTTGCCTTATGGAATTAAAGGCCAAGCTTTGAGTTTAAATCCAAGGCGTAGTCTGTTTTTGCAAAGGGAGTTCAGATTTCAAAAAATTCAAACGGGGGGAGGGGGGGGGGTTCAAAACCACTTGAAAGTGCTCAAAATGGAAAAAAGCATAGTTCTAAAAGAATTTTTGGACAGGGGGACGGTTTGCTCAAACACTCAAACACCTGAGAGATAATAAAGTTTGCACATGGCAGCTGTCATGGCAGGAATATCTGTTTAAGACAGTGTGTTAAACATTAAATGAAGGGAAATAAAGTTATCTCAAACATACCTTGATGCTGGTGTGTCTACTAGACTTTTCTTGTAAAACAAACTGTCATCACTTTCACTACTGCTAACCATATCATCAGGCACGATGAAATTATTGTCATCATAATCATCATCGTTGTTGTCATTATAACTGGAATAATTAATGGAACATTATAAGACTGGTAAGGCTGAATTGCACTTTATCATACAGGGTCACCATAAAGGAGTCACAGGCTTTGTATACTCATTATAAATATACTTTATGGACTCCCTGTATATGTTTAACATCAACTTTTACACATTTACTTGAAAGAGGTTTAAAAGCCTTATTCAAAACCTTCCAAAAAGGTACCATCTAAAATATTTTGCACTAACTTTTACAAATAATTTGTGAGCAGTCGTTTTTGACAAACATTTGAATTAAAACATTTTAAGAATATGTACGTACATACCTTTTACCTTTCCAACTATAATTTTTCTTAAATGTGATTGAAATATGACAGAATTATTTGTGTAAATAAGTTGCAATCAAATCTTATTTTTACCCAAACAAAGTAACTGGTCAACATAATTGTGAGATATTTAAATCTGAATCTGAATAAATGTAATAATTCTCCTAACAATTTATGATGGTTTATCTCTACTAAAAATACCTTGGCTGAACTTGTGATTTTCCTGGAGTTTTCATCTTTGAGAAAACTGAAAAGAAATGTATACTGAATGCCAATTGACAAATGTGTCAAGCATCATAATGGTAATTAGATACATGTACATTGGTATGTACTCCCATGCTAGTACATGAACTTGGGTTACATTAGTGCAAGTCATGGCACTGGCTCAAAATGTCAATGTTTTTGGATAAGTAATTCAACGATAACATATGTGTAAATAAGTTGGCGATTAAATCTATGTGTTCGCATAACAAGTTCTACTTTAACCTTAAGGAAAACTAATTGTTATACTTTGTAGTTATACTTTGTAGGTGTTGGCTTGTATTCATTCGTCAACTTTTCCTCATTCCTCATTAATTGAATTTTCATGCAAATCTAAAAACGTTAAATGTTATTAAAATCTCACAATTTTCCATTGCATCGTCATCTTCACTGGAATCTGACAGCAAACTCACAATATCAACCCTACAATGAAAAAATTCAGAAATAAAGACATTGGATATTGAACAAATATTCACCAAACTTCTTATTTACTCCTTTAACTTGAGTCCACTACATGGTATGTTTAAACCTTATGAAGGCAAATCTTACCTTGGTTGACTAAAGCTTGGATGGGGTGAGGTTGATACATCAGGTAGCTCATCTTCATAACTCTGTATTGAATCTACATGTGAGTGCACAGGTAAATCCTTTGATCTTTTCTTTGATGAGTTTACAATAGGCTCAGGTGCCTTTGATATCTCTGGATCATCATCATAATCACTGATATCAAGGTCTATGTGAAGTTTGGGCGTTTTAGATTTCTTTGATTTCTCTGGGCCATCTGTTACTGTGTGTTGAGATGGACAGATGTCTACAGAATCACTGATATCGAGGTCTATTTGCAGTTTTGATGTTTTAGATTTTTTAGTGGTTTTGTTTATTTTAGGATCCTTATAGTTATTTGTTTCTTCAGTTTTCTTTGTTGACTTTTTATTTTGTTTCTTTCCCTTTTTTGTTTTTGCCGTACTCTTTGGAATGGGCAATACACTATCAAGGTCAAGGTCATCTGAGTCAAGGTCAAGGTTCACAAGTTCATCAATTTTAGCTTTGATAGTAGCTTTCTTTGATTTTGATTTCTTTGATGATTTTTGTGTTGGTAAAAAGTCATCATCATCTGTTATAATTGGACCACTTAATTTCGCTCCATGATTTATTTTTAATTTTGAGGTCATAATACCACTTAAGTTCATAATATCTTCATCCAGATTTGACTCATCAGTGATTGGTTTCTTATTTGAGTTTTCCCTTGCATGATTCTCATTACTGGTATGTTTGTCAGTGTTACTATCTATTGCACTTTCCACTTTGTTTTCCCTTTTCAGAATTCCAGCAGAATTTTTGGATTGAGGTGCTCCATATTCCTCATTTTCAGAGCTTTCAAATGAAGCCTGGAGTCCAATAGAGTGTTTATCAGGTACATCAACATTGTTCTGTTGTATGTGATCATTAGTGTCAGTGTCTGAAGTTTCTATGGTCTCCATTGATGCTTGGAGTCCAATAGAATGTTGAGAGATGGAGTTTTCAATATCTGATTTCTCTTTCCCAGTGTCATCATTGTAATCTGAGGCAGCAGAGAAGAATGATTCATCATCAGATTGGTTGATTTTGTGTTTCACCATGTTGTTCTTGTGTTTATCTTGTGTATCATCATCCTCAGGATTGCTCTCAACTAAACATTGAAGTCCTATACTTTTCTCATCATTTATTCCATCTTCAGATTGTGCTGTTCTATTTTTGCCATTGGTTAGACCAGATGCATTATGGGAATTTTCTGTGTCGTCTGCTGTGTCAGTTGCATTATGGGTATCATTTGAGGTCATTGACACTTGAAGTCCCATTGAATGTCTGGACAACTGAGACTCATTGAGATCAAAGGGAACTTTTCTGGTACTTACATTTGGACTTTTTATATTTTCAATGACTGGGTTATCATCATCTTCACTAAGAAGCCCTTCGCTACATATCGAGACATTTCGACTAAAGTCGTCTACTGTGACATCAGAATCCTCGCTGTCTGAGTCTCCAACATCCATGGTTTCAGGAACTGGGAATTTTATGATGCTTCTAGAGTGGGGCAATTCTATGACATCATCAGAATCACTGTCAGAGTCCCTAGCAACAGGATTCTGTTCATTCTCTTGTTTTACTCTTATACCAACTTTGACAGCACTATTTGCTTCCATTTGTCTTGGAGTGCCTTTAGTCCTGTTCAAATTATGATGGTGTTTCTTTTTTCTCAGAATTGTACATGATTTTGAGCTTTCTAAGCTGGAGTCTAGATCTGCGTTATAGTCTGCATGGGGAGAATATTGGGGCATAGGGCGATGTATAACAGTTTTCATTGCAACTGAGTCTATTGACTTCTCGACATTTTGAATCACGTCATCAATATCCATTGAATCTGGAACTATGTCATGTTTTGTCTTTCCTCTCTTGATAAATTCATTTATGTCTAAGGAAGCTTCACTAGCGAATGATGGTCTGGTCTTTCCTCTCTTGATAAACTCATTTATGTCTAACGAAGCTTCACTTGCAAATGATGGTCTGGAATCATTGGTGTCGTCATCCATATCTTGAGTTTCAGGGCAAATGAATTGTCCTCCTGTTTTGGCATTTGTAATCTCATCATCTGAAAATTGTGTTTCAGCAATGCGAAAATTTTCAGAATTTTTCGGGATTTCGGAAAATTCAGGAATTTGAAAGTCATCCATTTGAGTATCAAGCACAATGTTATCTGGCACTGGGACATTTTCGGAATCATCTGCATCAGATGTTTGAGTATCCTCAACAGTTAATATATTTTCAAATGGTTGTTTATTTCCTTTTCCTTGAAAATGTCTGTTCAGTGTTTCATCATGTATTCCTCCTGTCCGTTTCACATTCATGACGTGTTTTAGATTGGCGGTACTTGCAATAGTGGTGACATCTATTGTATTAATTGAAACTCTTCTGTTGTTATCCAAGTCTTTCACTGAAGCGATATTTGGACTTTTGAAGCATTCACTTCGGCTTTCCGAGATAAAATTATCAATATTTCGGCTAGATGTAGGTGTATGAGCAGCATTAGCTTTTATATTCACATGCTGTATATTTTGATCTTTATGATCATTTTGTACATTGTCTTTTTCCAGTTTCTTGTGGCTTAGTTTCTTTTCATCAATAGGGTGGTTTTCGTCTTCATCTTCAGTCAAAAGGTTCTGTGTTTCAGGAACAGTTGTTTCATGTGTTCTACCATTAGCATTACCTTCATCAACACAAGCACTATCATCAGTCATTAAGTCATTGATATTTTCACTATCTGGCACTAACATTAAGGGATTCAGTTGTACAATCTCAGGCACAAATGTTTCAGCATGATCACTGTTGTTCTTACTTATAGGCACCACCTCACTATCTGGAACTATAATGTCTTTATCAGGTTCAGCAGCATTATCGGTGTCGGCATCATCTGTCATACATTCATCTATATTTTCAGTGTCTGGGACCATCAAGGGGTTCAATTGGACAATTTCAATTACATTCTGAGAATCAGGGATAACTGCACTTTCAGTGCCATCTATTGCAGGTTCTTGTGAGTCAGGGATGACATCATTTTGATTACCAAGCTTGACACTCCCATCTGAGTCATTTCTGTCACTCGTTGAGGTCTGCTGTGTATCAGGAATGACTTCTTCTATCGGAGCATCTACGTTCTTACATTTTTTCTCAATTTCGTAACTTCCACCGAGATTTGTACTATTGGCGCTATCCGATGAACAACTGCTGATACTATTTATATTATACAGTTCATTGGGGCTCTTAATTGCACTAATGTTAGTGCTTTGTACAATAGGTGGACCATTTTTAGCTTTTTTCTTTGACTTTACACCTTTTTTAACAGATTTCCTCTGAGATGAAACAGGCATAATACAAGGTAAGTCCAAATCATCAATGACGTCAGATGGTTGGGGTTTCTTTTTGGATTTTTGTTTAGGGTTTGTTTTCTTCAAAGGAATTTCATCGAGATCTGAGTCAATCTCAAAGTCGAGGTCTGCAGAGGGTTGAGAGAGGACGCTTCTGATGGAACACACAGTGTCGTTTAAAGTAAGACTGTCACGTGCTGTAGAACTGAATATGTTCGTATCATCTGGTCTGAAACCATCCTCAATTGGTAGACTTTCTTTACTAGGTTTGTTCTTTCTAGGACCTTTGGCAGGTAGTTTAGTTTTTCTCAATTTTTCAGTTTTTGAAGATGACTTAACATCTGGTAGAAAATCCAAATCAAGATCTATATTATTGGGAGGCTTTGGTGGTTCGTCTCGTTTTGTGGATGAAGGGGGTGACTTCAAACTTTCTGCCCCTATTTTTAACAATTTCTTACTGCTGACCCTTGTTTTGTAAATCTTGGATTTCTTGGTGGTGGATTGTTTGGGTGCGGGTAAGATAGCATCAAGGTCAAGGTCATCTTCCATCACAATGTTTGGTTGTTTGTTCTCTTTGGTTTTTGTGACTTTAGGCTTAGATTTTATGGCTGCTTTAACTGAACTTTTATGATGATCATCTTCATCACAGATAACAGGTTGGGAATTCTAAAATAAACATAATAAAATGTAAGCAAACATTTCAATTTTCAATTTATTAAATAAATGTACATACAAACAATACAAAATTGATGAAGGGAGCGAGACACCACTGAAAGGGGTATGGTGCCCCCTGTAACAATAAAAAATTCATATGAGTTAGCAATTGAAGATGACAAATAGGTGACATGTACCTACTGGTTCTGAAAGATACCCTCCAATTTTTAGAATAATGATATTTGCTCTCAAAAAGTCAAGATCAACAGGCAGTGCATGCTTATCATCAAGAATCATTTTAGACAATAGAGTAGCACTTATTATAGTATACAGCAAAATTTTTTATTTTTAGATGATATTTTCAAGATTTCTGATCAACTGAGTCAATGAACTGTAACTATTAATTTCTCAAATACAATCCATAGGTTAATCAACTCTCTCACGGTTAATATTTCAAAACTAGGCTATGGCTATATCATTGCCTCCTCCAGACTTTCCCTTAAAATAAATACTACCTGATAAGTTTACAAACAATATACATGTATTGAACTCTCCTTCTGTACTTTTCAGAGTTCTCTCTAGGATTTATTTTAAAAATGGGTGTGAAATTTTAATTTTATTTTTAAAAAATAGAGTATAATACTAAAAAATGACCAAATTGTTCAAAAAATCTCAACATTTCATCTCAACATTTCACATTTTTCAAAAAATTGTTCAGAATGCCCATGTTATTTTCTGGTTCAAGTACAAGGGTGTACATTGTTACTTTTTCTCAATTCAATTGCACAATAATGCTTCCAATTCTCAATGGGATGCAACACCCAATTGCTTTCATAATAGGGCAATCTAGGACTTACTTGTGAGAGAACTACTCCCAGTGGTGAAACAGTGTAATCTTCATAGGCCCATTCTGAAAAACATAAGGCCGATTATGAAACATTTTAGGGCCATTATGAAACATATTAGGTGGTCAGCGTAAAATCGTATCCTCAAGAATTAGCCCCAGGGACCTTATACGATTTTACCTTTACCATATTAGGCTTGTGAGTAATCACACGTATTAACCAGATCTCCTTATATTGTGAGCTTGCTTGGCAGTATCATGGCTAAGGCACTGAACTAGCCCCTACATACAGGGTGTCCCGAAAGTGTGCCCCCCCCAGGCTGCTGTTAAGACGGCCCGAGAGGACACATTGACTAGTAATTTGGTGTAAAATTGAACTGAATTTTGGCCTAACACAAAATTTTGAAATGACTGTAATTTTTCACGTTTGAGGGTTGAACCATGATACTTGGTGAATCAATGTAACTTTGGATAAGCTTTAAAATGATATATGGCACATACTATGAAGACAGTGGTATATGTCTGCCAGGGGCCCATACTTTTGGGACACCCTGTATATTAGCAGGCTCGGTGGAATGTTCAGCTCAATGTGGATCTTCAAATGCTCATGGTATGTTAAGGTCTTAATATGAGTGATTATGGGATATTTTAAATATGGGGATATACTACCAACAAGCCCGTAGCCAGGGCCGTGGCACCCTAGCCAAAAATTATTTCTAAATAATGCAGCTTTTCATCATTTTGAGCACTTCTCAAGTGATTTTAGCCATATTTGGGTCAAAATTGTCAAATGTGAACCCCCCTGGAAATTTTTGAAAACTAACTCCCCTTGACAAATCCTGGCATCGGGCCTGACCAAGAAACAATTACTGCTAAACAACATGGCGAACAAACAAATAAACAACAGGGCTCTCACCAGGAAATATTTAGGGTGTGGTGCTAACATCTTCAGAATAACCGTTCAACCGTGATAAATCAATATTTATGTATGTTTCATCTTTTTTACATGCTATTATTGTATATTCAGTCAAGTTTAGACTGTGGAAACAGCCATGATTTGCCAATAGGGTGTGGAGGGAGCTAAATAGAGTGTGGTGCTGTGCCACAGTCTAAAAGCCTGGCGAGAGTCCTGAACAATGAAAACACCAAAAGAAGACATTGGTGATATATTGTTGGAATAGTTCAATTTCCAGAATGGGATTTGGTTACCATTTATGTCAGTGTCTATAATACAAAAGATGGCTCCCTGAACAAACAATTAATATTGAGGAAATTGTTTGTTTTTGGGAAATGCCTATTGTTGTATAGGAACATTATAGACTTAAATCACACTTGGAATTCGAGAAATAATCCTATATTATGGTTTGATGTACATTTATGATCTTCAAATTTAATGAAATATTGATGATATGTTAATTTCTATGCAAATTTTAAGAAAGCAATAGTCTTCTGCAAATATGTTTTCAACTTTTACAACGTATAATTTTAATCAAAATGAGTTTTATAAGAACATCAATTTTACCTTTCAATCCTCCATGAACAGCTGTCTTTGGAGTATTCTTGGTTGCTTTCTTCTTGGCCTTTGTCTGAAAAAATGTTAATGTAAATATGTTGCCCTTTAGGATTTATTTTCAATTGTAAATGTTTCGAACCCCTGTACATTATTTCATTGGGCAATATTTTCTTTTTTTAAAGATGAAAAACTGTCAACATGCATCTTGAATTCTGAAATACAAGTTGTCCATAAAGTCTCTTTACATATACTTTACATTTCAATTGTAAGGGGCTAAGGAGACTTTATTGACACCATGTAGTTTAGGTAAGATTTGAATCAAACATAACAAAAAGATGATACTTACAGGCTTAGGTCTGGCACTGCCAAAACTTATCTTCTGACTGAGGTCTTGGAACAGGTTTTCTAGGTCACTGTCATCAGACATGATGTATCTGTAATACTGTAGGTTCCTCCTGAAAAAATAGTCCATGAATTGTCCTTTATTGTCCGATATTGCATGATTTTGTCTAAAATTGGAGCAATGGCTCTGAGGTAAATGGCGGATATTCAACAAAAACGATGAAAACTAGATGAAAATGTCGTAAATGTCTGACTTTATAACTGGCTGAAAATTCAAAGTATCAATCCACAAGATTTGTACTAATATATTGATCACATTTTATGTTGAAATTTTTGTGAGGTGCAGTAAAATTTTAAATGTTTGGAACAACTTTGAATTTAAAATATAAGCAATTAAATGACTATATTGCAACGGTAATGAAAAAATAGAAACATATGTACAAGGCCTATTTTTGTATATTTCAGATATTTATGTTTAAAGCGGCTCTAAGGTCTGTGGAGAGAAAAATGTAGAAATTTTACCTTTTCTGAGCTATCGGGGTGAAGTTTGGTCCAACATCTTCTTCCTTATTCCTATTTCATAAAAATGTATGCATATGGCAATATTCATCAACCAGTAGAACTGGCAAATCGTTTAGAATCTACAATTCCATACAAGGAGTCCCACTCATAGATTTTTCAAATTCTTTCCAAGTCGACGTCGAAACACCTAGCGGGTGAAATTGAAACTAAATTTTCTGGCTGCTCGAATCGATAAAATCTCTGATAGTGTGAGTCTTTTTTTTTAAATCTTTCTGATAGAAAACACTTAATTAATATTAGAAAGCATTAAATGTTGAATCCGAAGCGTAATCTGATATAAAAAGTGAAAAAACATTGCGCGGACGTCAGAGAACAAACTTCCGGTTTAATAAAAAATGGCGGACGTCGAAGGAGAAATTATGACGAAGAATTAGAGGATTTTCCTTTGCCATTATCGATCGTTATAAGGTATGTGCACAAATTCTAGTTGCATACATGGAAAATAGATACATTTTTAAAGGCAACAACATATTCAAAGCTTTCATTTTACGATAGGCCCAGGATCATTGGATACGACTCGGCAATCGATATTCACACTTTAATGTGCAGCAAAGCTATGGCCTTTTGTAATTTCAGCCATGTTAATTTTTCCGAAAATAACATGGCAGAGAAGCATCAAAATATAAGAGGCAACACATATGATAGCCAAACTACAAAACAAACTAAAATAAAAAAAACTTAGGCCATGTATAAATGTTTCTATTTTTACATCTGTTTCAATAATATGGTACTTTGATTGCTTATTTTTTAGATTCAAAGTACATGTAGACTAGTTCCAAACATTTAAATTTGACTGTAATTTAGACAAAACTCAAAATTCAAATTGTGAAATGAAAAATGGTAGCTAGTTTGATTTCAAATTTTGTAATCGCTACGTGACTCATATAGATATATCTGTAGGCCTATAGCACTGCAGAATAAAACATACATGTATATGAATGTCACAAGATCAATTACACTGTGATTGACACATTTTTACATTACCTCGTGTGAATATAATTATATGCAAGGCAAGGTCATAACACCATAAATGGCAGTAATATCGATATTGCATTCTGGGAGCTAGACTAATCCTCCTTGGAGTTTACTGAAACATTTTCAGAGACTTGTCAAGTGAAGAAATAAACAACATCGTTAGACTAGTCAAAACAAATGTATAATTCAATACAAAAGAGTTATACCTACAACCTTTTGCTATTTAGTTAAAAGGTCCTGGAGTTTAATAATGGATAACTATGGAGTAATCGACTAAAAAGTGGCAGAAAAATATTTTAAGTTTTTGAAAGTCGGCGCCATTTTGTTGATTCAATGTGAGCGCTTTTTGGCGAAATCTGAAAATATCAGCTTATCACTCGATTCATACCAATCCTATATTGGAATCAATTAATCAAATGAAATATTGAGCATTTTTTCCATATGTTAAACATATACATAGTATCCAAGCTTTGTTATATGGTAACTCTTCTGCAATATCTGGCGACGTATTGCACCGCCACTTTGACCTATTTCTTCAAGGAAGAGGAAAAAAATTTCGCTCCGAAGTTTCATTCGATATTTAGGTGAGTGTACACTTCTCTAACATTTATGCACTAAATAAAATGCTGTCTATATGTATTTGATCTTTGACTAGATTGATTTAGTCGCATAATGCAATATATATCTTCAATTTGACTACATTTTTGTTGAATGAAAAACTGCAATGTTTTGATTTTAAATAGACTTTTGAGTAAATCAATGTTGTCAAATGAACTGTCAAAATCAGATCATAAAATTTTACAGTCATGTAAAACTTTTTATGAATAGGCCTATACTTACAGGTTATGTCACTATGATGTGAAATATGCCTGAGTTCTAAATATAGGCCAACCTTGGGAGTTATTAGTCCAACAACATTAGACCTAGCCCGGGCCTCGTTTCTTATCTGACATGTGTCATGGCCCGGCTAGGTCTAACCTTCATGACCATTTTGCCTTTGATGCGTTAATTTAATCGTTCAGCAGGTTTCGACAAGCGGAACAAATTAAACCCTGAAAACATGGCAATATTACACAAAGAATGTGATTCAAACATGCATACATACCTTATAAACACATACACCCCGTCCCGTATCCCCCTTAGACCCTATTGATGCATAATTACGAAAATATTGGAGACAGGTTTGGAAATGACGAAAATGTCGGTCAGTTTCGGTAACATCGAAATTGCAAATCGTTTCAGGAATTAACCGTCATCACGGCACTGCATTAACGAACAGTGGGTTTGCAATTAATAACTGTTTTGCGTGTATACACGCGCTATATAAATTAATCAAAGATACCTGTTATCCTCAAAATTGATATTTTTATCCCGAGTAATCGCGATAATAATTATCAATCTATTTGACAACAATTTCGTTTCGCTGGTAGTTTAATTTTACGATCCGGGACACTCAGACGAACAGACACAATGACGGACATGCGGAATGTCACTTTAGAAATTGGTAAGTGTAGCCTCATTTTACTCGTATAAATGAACATTTAACACAAAAATATTGTGTTAAATCGCTTGATGTTATGTGTTTTTATATTATTGTCAAGTATCAGTTGCACGTTATCGCGGAAAAATGGTTTCGATGGATTCAGAACTTGCATCAAAGGAAAGAATAGTAAGGAGGTTAAACTCAATAACGGCCCCAAAAAATTCCTAATAATAAAGAACGCCGTTATTGAGTTTAACGACGTTGAACTAGGGAGTTATGTGAAAGTGTGAAATATCAGAATTTCCTGGATGAGTTCCCATTGACTTTCCTGAAAAAATCAAGGAAGTTGGCACATGCCTTCATTCTTTGTAGTGTGCCAGAGGGTAACATATTCAACAACGTTAGACCTACATGTAGTCTGGGGCCTCGTTTTTTCTGACATGTTGATGGCCCTGACAAGAATGAAGGAATATTTCATGTCATAGTGACATTACTGGGGCGGTGAATTTGTACGATCTGTGATCCGATCCGGATAAATTCATCTATGATGGTTATGATGTATTGTAGGATTAATCCAAGAATTAATCCGAAATCGGTTAATTTGTATGATCCTGGGATTAATCTCAGGATAAATCTCAATCTACCTTTTGAGGTGGATTACTTTTTGGATAAATTTTATCTGAATTCCAATCAAATTGGATAAATCCTGGGGATTCCCCCTCATAATCCTCGGATCGTACAAATTCACCAAGTATTTATCGGATTTGTAATCCAAGATTCATCCCAAAAAGATAAAATTTATCCCGATTGGATTGGGGATCATACAAATTCCTAATTCCCATAACTACCTTGTACTAAGTATCAATGACTTCACACATCTGTGTTTGAGTAGAATTTGATTGAAATGGAACATGACGTCATGATATTGTCATGGTTATTATAGAATCTAACATCAAAATGAGGTAAGAGGGCTATATCAGGGTAATCGGGCAGTATCTGTAGATATGGCCCATGGACTTCTATCCATGTAAGTTCTCAGCCTTCTTATCCTTACTTTGAATGCTGTCGAAGTGAGTTATTTCAAATGAGAGTTGTTCCTCTTACAATGCAGTAAAATGTCTTAGATTATACAGGGGCGTCAGAAGGATTTGACAAGGGAGGGGGCGACTTTTGGGTATGGATATGTCATGCGTGAAGCGTGCCACACACAAAGCGCAATCTAGGTGGGTCGAGAGGCATGCCTCCAGAAAATTTTCAAATTTAGACCCTCTCTGGTTCATTCTGAACATAATATCTCAGCACATCATTCCCAATAATAAAAACAAGAAAAATGTGTTATTTGAAAACTTTACTTGACTTTGACTAAAAAAAGCTTTGACTTTTACTAAAATATACATTTTGCACTTATTCTTCAAAGTATTTACATGGCTGTATGGGTTCCTGAGAAACTATAATGGTATAGCATTAAATATAATATGAGAAATGAGATCTTCTATGCTTGATGTAGACTATAATACTGACATAGTATCATTTCTGTCATTATTAGAGCTTTCAATTCTAGGCTCAGTTTCAAATCTCAAAAAAATCTGGCAACAAAATGTGTGATCTATTCCAAATCTTATGAGTAACAAGCCCAGGTATTGTACTTAGATTTGAATGCTCCTTTCAGGTGATCTCATGTTTCTAATTGCTGATTTGAATGTATATATTTTATTGAACAGCCCTCATATATAGCAGGGGGCGTGTAATTTTTAGATATTCAGAGGGATCACCAAGTATAGAAAATATTACTCTAGACTATACCTATCAGTGCTTCAAAACAATGTAGAAGTTAGAAGTGTATTTTGGTTTTGTTTCCAATGTAACAAGTTTGTTCCTTTTTTAACATCTGATAGTTCCAGTAGTTGATCCAACATGTTCCTGTGAGGGTGATCTGAGTTAATTTTGAAAGTGACCCAATATCCCTGAAAGTTTTAAGCGTCATTTTATGAAAGGCAGAAATGTAGTGCATTTGTGAAATTTAGTGATCAATAAATTTTGCAAATGATCCAATAGTGCAAAATTTATTGATCACCCCATGTATATCAACATATCCTAAATGTTGGCTTTTCTATACTATTTCATCTTTATATATAGAAAAGCAGCGAGGGTGAAGTAGGTTGTTTCTCCCACAGCAGTTTACTTAACATGCATATCAGACACATAATATTGATTAATATGAGAATAAGTTGGCAGACTATGTGATTACATGAGACAATAGATATGCTGATATTCTCAGTTAATCTTAACATAAGTACGTTATGAGGTACTTCATTGAGAAGTAATATAATAAGTTAATTTACTGACGTCTCTATTATTACTACCTTTTTGCATCCTTGGTATTTGAAGAGCCCTCGGCTCATGCTAAGTACATGCTACGGGATAACTTTGGTGTCTTTGTATCTTGCTGTTGGCTTTCTCTCAATAATGGAGGTACTTCTATTCATATTTTGTTATGTACAATGATATGTATATTTATTTTATCTAGGGGTTTCAATAACAGCAGACAACAGGCAATTTTCTCCGGTTGTTTTCACAAAATCGCCTGTTGTTTTAAGGGCTTTTCCATGTTTTTATGATTTTCATTAATTTTGCTTGTTGTTTTTTTTTGATTTATTTTTCCTGTTGTTTTCATTTATTTAGCCTGTTGTGAGAAATTCTAGTGAAATCCCTGTTCTCTATTTGATGTGTCATCGTCATTTCCTACATTCTCATTGGTGTTCAGGCAAAGTAATTCATGATTTGATGTAAAAAAATTACATTCTGTTACAGTATTTATTCATTTTGTTTTTAGGGGAGGGGGGCTTCTACCAATTATCTCCATTGCTGTTCTCTTATAAACTATACAAAATATTATTGTTTCATTTTTCATCAGTTTCTTTCAATCTCAGAATGTCATCTGAAAACTCTTTGTTGCTTTATATATATTCCCATAGAATGCTTGCATAGGCTGAATATATTAGAATGTTTAATTCTATTGTATTAAACAGAAAGTCTTATAAAGTCTTATATTATATTATATTTTTTATATTAGACAGCTGTGTGTTCAAATCATAGGGGTTGTGGATTCGGCCAACCAATTTTGGGGCCCCTGGCATTATAAAACAGACAGAGATGCTATTGCCTCGAGGCTGCAAATTCGAGTCCCTGTATTAACAATTTACAGCACCAAACTTAATCTGATCTAGAAATGCCACTGCTAAGATTGGACAATGCAATTGACCTTATTATCTGAGAAACCCCTAAATAACAAATCTAAATACGTCAGCACTATTTATATCCCCCTTTACTTACTTAAGTCCGAATCTAGAAATTATTCAATTTTAGCCAAATTGCAAAGAGTTGCTGAAGCGACACTTCCATGTACAGGAAACATTTTTCATGAGCCGCTATTGATTTTTCTGCGAGATAATTAAGGTTAGTTGCGTTTAGAGCTTCGACTTGCATCTCGTTGCCTCTAAAAAACATCCTTTTACATTTATCATTTATTCGGCTGTTCTGATCATATTGTACCATATATTACGCTTCCTGATTGTAATACTAATTCTCATATAACTTGGCATACTGGAGTAAATGCGACCACAAATGTTAAATATATCACAGTTCTATTAAATGTGTACATGTATTTACAATTACAAGATTTTTATGGAATGATCATTTTCAAGTAAAAATCTCAATATATGTAAATCATTTAACAAAAACATACTCTACCTAAATTAGATTGAACAACAATATTTTATATAACCATGTAAATATTTGGTGTTTTTTACGTACTTGACTTCCTCCCCGCATTT